AACTATCTCTGGCTTCACTTCCACCTCATCTTCAACTATCTCTGGCTTCACTTCCACCTCATCCTCAACTATTTCCGGGACCGCTAAAACATCCTTCTCCACTATATCCACCTCAGTTATAATTTCTTTCTCTTCGATTTCCGCATAATCTTCGACCCCTACCAATTCCTCTTTTATATCTACTTTAACCTCTACGTCTATGTCAAGCACATCGGCAAAGTCCTCCTCTTTGCCCACCAAAGCCTCTATCTTGGTCACGCTAAGGTACTTCTCCAATTCACCCCTGCAGGTGGACAGTCTCGATCTGAGCTTCTCTATCACATCTTCCAACTCGACAATGCGATCTGCCATCTGTTGATTTGCCGCCGTCTTCATTTCTAATTGCTCCTGCAAACTGCTTATGGTACTTGCAACATCGCTGTCCAATTTACACCAAAGATCGTCCGCTTGTTGGAGCGTTCTCATATAGGCGTCCTCCCTATTCTCCAATTCGGCGATTTGTCTCTTCATGTACAATTCAGTCTCGGCCAATTCCTGAAGCTTTTCTAAACACTCGATATCGGTCGATTTAATCGACGTGTTGCTAGGCAATTTCTTTAACCACTTCTTTTTGCACTCTATTACCCCGCACTCGCCTGCACGCCAATAAATAAATTAGAGACCGATCCGATCCTCGATCACGAGATCCACATTTCATTCACATATAATTTCTTAAAACGTTTACAATTACAAACGAATCGAGTTTCGAGGTTTAAACATTTATTCAACTAACCAGCCTCGCACGAGCGATCGTCCTCGTCCTCCACCTTGTAAGCCTCTTTCAATTTCTGGGCCTCGACAGTTAGCTTCTCGATCTTTCCCTTCATCTCTTCCTGAAGGATCTTAACCTCCCCCAACCTCCTCATCTTGTCCTCCAACAGAGCCTCCTTCTCGGTCCAAAGATTCTTAGCCTCGTCCATCCTCCTCTGAGCCTCCTTCCTTTCCGCCTCGACCTCCCTCACTCTGCAATCGAAATGTCGGCTGGGCGTCTTCGGACAATACACCTCCCCCGAAGCTGGGCCTTGGAACTGCTTCTCCATGATACGCTGGAGATTAGGCACACACGTCCCTTGAGCCATCCTCCAGATATTCCACACCATCACGGCCGGCATGGAGCATTCCAAGATGTTCAATCGATGCTTCAGATCCCCCTGTTGCTTCTCCAATTCTTCGTTCTTCAGCTCACGATTTATTATCATCTCTTTGAACTTGCGCTGGCATTTTCGATACGTCTTCCCGGATTTTGGATTTTGTTTTTGGGACCCGTCCTTGCCCAACTGGCCCAGAGACGTGGACTTTTTGAAGTCCTCCTGGTTCTTCGATCCTTGGGTATCGTGCTCGTCCGTCCCATCAGAGAATGGATTTTCTTTCGGATTCGATTGAATGGACGTGTCTTGGGTCGGAATTGAACTTGTGTATTCGAGATTGCTCCTCGGCGCGGACGAGGGCTCGGATATTTTAGAAGCGTCAGAATCATCCTCCATCGTATCCTCGCCCACGTCCCATTCATTTATTTCTTCGTCCATGATACTCGTCCTTTTGCTTTAATCGCTTCTAGTTTCTGCTTGAATCACGGTTTCACCTGCTTTCAACAGTTTTTTAATCGAAGTAGTTGATTTTTAGTTGTAAAAGGAGTAAAGGAAAAAGAAGGAATGTACGAGTAATTTATAGTTGAAAGCAGAAATTGTTTTTTGAGATTCTGGGGGTAAAGGTGTTGGAATGAAAATCAAATTGAGATTCTGATGAAAGATATGTCAATTTAAATTGTTATTGTTATATATTATTAAATATAATTATTATTTCAATGTAATAAACCTGTTTGCAATTTAATTATTGTCATAATATTTCCATACGAACGAATTTCAAATAATAAGGAATAAATGATTCTAATGAAGATTTTTTCTTTGATAAAATTTACCTAACCGATGGATTTATTTGTAAATTTTGTCAAAAGTGCGCATTATTCCAGAAAGAAAATAGTTTTATTTGCGATTCTACTTGGTTAAAGTGAGTCATATCTTTGTCAAAAATACTGATTTAATTTTGGAGCTCGTCCAAATGCGGTTAACGTTGATATATTTCAGATACCCATTACTGTAGATTCAACAGATTTCGTTGGAAATCACGATTGATTTCCGTTTACTCCATTAATTTCATAATTTCGTTTGAACGTAGCCACGATGATATCGAGTATCGAGAAATTTTCTATCGATCGATCACTTTCCATCTTCT